AAGAAAAAAATTTGGAAAGACTACAAATACATGGAGGTTAAAAACGTCTTGGTAAAGAATGCACGAGTTAACCAGGAAATTAAAGAAAAAAATTTAAAAAATACATGGAAGCAAGTGAAAATGAAAACACAACAGTTCAAAACCTTTGGGATGCAGCAAAGGCAGTCCTAAGAGGGAAGAATATTGCAATACAGGCCTATCTCAAGAAGTAAAAAAAGTCTCAGATACACAACCTAACCTTACACCTAAAGGAGCTAGAAAAGAAACAGCAAATGAAACCTAAAGCCAACAGAAGAAGGGAAATAATAGATTAGAGCAGAAATAAATGATATAAAAACAAAACAAAGCAAAAACCCACAGTAGAACAGATCAACAAAACTAAGAGCTAGTTCTTTGAAAGAATTAATAAAATAGATAAGCTCCTAGCCAGACTTACCAAAAAGAAAAGAGAAAGCACCCAAATAAAATCATGAGAGAAAGAGGAGAGATCACAACCACACCAGAGAAATGCAAAAATTATAAGAGAATATAAAAAATTGTATGCCAACAAACTGGGCAATCTGGAAGAAATGGACAAATTTCTAGAAACATACAAACTACAAACACTGAAACAGAAAGAAATAGAAAATTTGAACAGACCCATAACCAGCAAAGAAATGGAATCAGTAATCAAAAATCTCCCAACAAACAAAAGTCCAGGGCCAGATGGCTTCCCAGGGAATTCTACCAGGCATTTAAAGAAGAGTTAATACCTATTCTTCTTAAACTGTTCCAAAAAATAGATGGAAGAAAAACTTCTAAACTCATTCTACAAGGCCAGCATTACCTTGATTCCAAAACCAAAGACCCCACTAAAAAAGAGAATTATAGGCCAATATCCCTGATGAATATGGGTGCAAAAATTCTCAACTAGCAAATTGAATCCAACAGTACATTAAAAGAATTATTCACCACTATCAAGTGGGATTTATTCCTGGGCTTCAGGGGTGGTTCAATATTCACAAATCAATCAATGTGATACACCACATTAATAAAAGAAAGGATAAGAACTGTATGATCTTATTAGATACAGAAAAAGCACTTGACAAAGTACAACATCCATTCTTGATAAAAACACTCAACAAAGTAGGTATACCTCAACATCATAAGGGCCATATATTAAAGACACAGCTATTACCAACCTCAACGGGGAAAAACTGAGAGCTTTTCCTCTAGGGTCATGAACAAGACGGGGATGTCCACTCTCACCATTACTATTTAACATAGTACTGGAAGTCTTAGCCTCAACAATCAGACAACAAAAAGAAATAAAAGGAATCCAAATTAGCAAGGAAGAAATCAAATTTCACTCTTCGCAGACAACATGATACTCTATGTAGAAAACCCAAAAAACTGGTAGAACTAATACATATATTCAGCAAAGTCACAGGATATAAAATCAATGTACAGAAATCTGTTGCATTTCTATGCACCAATAATGAAGCAGCAGAAAGAGAAATTAAGGAATCAATCCCATTTACGATTGCACCCCAAACAATAAGATACCTAGGAATAAACCTAACCAAAGAGGTAAAAGGTCTGTACACTGAAAAATATAGAACACTTAAGAAAGAAATTGAAAAAGACACAAAGAAATGGAAAAACATTTCATGTTCATGGATTGGAAGAACAAATATTGTTAAAATGTCTATATTACCCAAGGAAATCTACACATACAATGCAATCCCTAGCAAAATACCAACAACATCTTTCAAAAACCTAGAACAAACTATCCTCAAATTTGTATGGATCCACGAAAGACCCCGAATAGCCAAAGGAATTGTGAAAAAGAAAACCAAAGCTGGTGGCATCAAAATTCCGGAATTCAAGCTGTAGCCATCAAGACAGTATGGTACTGGCACAAAACCAGACACATAGACCAATGGAACAGAATAGAAAACCCAGAAATGGACATACAACTATAGGGTCAACTAGTCTTTGACAAAGCAGGAAAGAACATCCAATTGAAAAAAATAGTTTCTTCAAATGGTGCTGGGAAAACTGGACAGCAGCATGCAGAAGCATGAAACCGGAACACTTTCTTACACCATACACAAATATAAATTCAAAATGAATGAAAGACCTAAACATGAGACAGGAAAGCATCAAAATCCTAGAGGAGCACACAAGGAGCAACCTCTTTTACCTCGGCTGTAGCAACTTGTTACTAGACATGACTCTACTAGACACGACTCTAGAGGCAGGGGAAACAAAACCAAAAATGAACTGTTGGGACTTCATCAAGATAAAAAATTTCACACAATGAAGGAAACAATCAACAAAACTAAAAGGCAACTTATGGAATTGTAGAAGATATTTATAATATGACATATCTGACAAAGGATTAGTATCTAAAATCTATAAAGAACTTCTCAAACTCAACACCCAAAAAACAAATAATCCAGTTTAGAAATGAGAAGACATGAATAGACATTTTTCCAAAGATGACACCCAGATAGCCATTAGACACATGAAAAGATACTCAACATCACTCATTATCAAGGAAATACAAATCAAAACCACGATGAGATACCACCTCAACCCAACAGAATGGCTAAAATTAAAAACACAGGAAACAATAGATGTTGGCGAAGATGTGGAGAAAAGGGGACCCTCTTACACAGTTGGTGGGAATATAAACAGAGGTGCAGCCACTGTGGAAAACAGTGTGGAGGTTTCTCAGAAAGTTAAAATAGACCTACCCTAAGATACAGCAAATGCACCACTAGGTATTTACCCAAAGGATACAAGAATACTGATTTGAAGGGGCACGTGAACCCCTATGCTTGTAGCAGCATTATCTACAATAGCTAAACTATGGAAAGAGCCCAAATGTCCATCAACTGATGAATGGATAAAGAAAAAGTGGTATATACATAGGGTGGAATATTACTCAGCCATCAAAAAGAATGAAATCTTGCCATTTGCAATGATGTGGATAGAGCTAGAGTGCATTATGTTAGGTGAAAGAAGTCAGTCAGAAAAAGACAAACATGATATTATTTTACTCCTATGTGGAATTTAAGAAACAAACAGATGAACATAAGGGAAAAATAGAGGGGAAAACAAACGATAAGAGATTCTTAATGATAGAGAACAAACAGGGATGATGGAGGGAGGTGGATGGGGAATGGGCTAAATGGGCGATGGGTATTAAGGAGGGCACTTTTTATGATGAGCCATGGGTGTAATATGTAAGTCATGAATCACTAAATTGTACTCCTGAAACCAGTATTACACTATATGTTAACTAACTAGAATTTAAATAAAAATTTGAGAAAAAGAAATTATAAAAAAAGGAAAAAATTCTAGCACCAGGGTATACCTGCAACAATTAAAGCAGAATTGGAATCAGACTAGGCAACTACATTTTTTAAACTGTCCACATGACTGCAGTGTGCAACCAAGACTGAAAACTGTGTTAAAGTGTCAGTTTTTGGTTTATGCTTGCCAGGAGAGCCTAGGAATGATTTCCATCTCATTTGCTGACCTTCCACTCAGTGCTATTTTGGAGACCTAGTGATTCCATTAGCATAGAGCAGGGAACTGGCAAACTATGGCCCATGGACCAAACCGCTCCTGCGGCCTGTTTTTGTGGGCCCTGCAAGGTGAGAATGGCTTTTACATATTTGAATGTTTGGAAAATCAATCCCCACACCTGAGAATAGCTCTATCAAGAGCTATTCAAATCTGTTGTTGTCAACCAAAGGCTGCTATACATATAACATGGCTCTGTTCCAGTAAAACTTTAAGTATGGCCACAGACACGAGAATTTCAAATAATTTTCATGTGTCATAAAATATTCTTTTAAATTGAAGAAATAGAAAATAATAATATAAGGGTTTTCCTTTTTAATATAAAGAGGATTCTTGACAAATAATGCATTAAAAGGCAAAATTTTTGTTCAATCTTAGTTATAGAAATGCAAAAAATTGGAAATTAGCAAACCAAATCCAGCAATGGGTAAAACAGATAATACAACATAACAAAGTTGTGTTTATCCCAAACTTGCAGTGTGGTTTAACATTAGGAGATCCATAATGTAATCCATTAAGTTAATAAGATAAAGAAGCAGGAAAATGATAATCATCACAAAGATTTCATAAGAAAAGGACATAAATAAAACTTAATAACCAATCAAGATTAAACAACAACTCTCAGCTAACCAAGAATAGAGAGCTATTTCTTTAAACTGATAACATGCATTTTTTTAAAAAGACAACAAACACCATACATAATTGTGAAACATTAAAAGCATTCCATTTTAACCAGAAGAGGCAAGGATGACTCATATAATCAGTTCTTTTAAAAAAAGAATTTATTTATTTAAGAGAGAGAGAGAGAGCATGAGTGGGGGGCGGGACAGAGAGAGAAGGAAAGAATCTCAAGCAGACTCTGCACTGAGCACAAAGCCCAACATGGGGCTCAAACTCACAACCCTTAGATCATGACCTGAGCCAAAATCAAGAGTCAGACGCTCAACCAACTAAGCCACACAGGCACCCCTCATATAATCAGTTCTGTTCAACATCTGACTGAGTCTCCTAGGCAGAGAATGAGTGCAGTTAACCAAAATAAATAAATGCATACATATATACATAAATTAATAAGTGTGTAAGAGTGAAGAAACAAAACTGTCTTCATAAAAAATTCCAGAGAATCTACAGAAAATTATAAGAATAGAGATTAACCAATTTATTGGATGTAATACTAATATATACAAAAGAATTGTACAAATAGAAAATAATATTTCATTGTGAATATATCATTTACAATAGCAAAAAGATATGGTCTGTGAAATATTCTGTGAATTGGCTCACTTGGAAACTCTCAGTTGTAAATTCCATGATGTTCTGTTAAAGCAGCCTGAATGGACTAAGACACTACCTCTCTCTTTGATATTCAAATTGCATATTAGCATAGTTATCTTAAAAATATGATAATATAAAAATCCTTTTACCTTCATTTCTGTATGTCCCAAATTTCTCTGATGGAAGAACATATGTTTGTTGTTGGTGTCTTTCAGACATAGTGTTTTGTATATCAAACCTGGAAGTGCTGAAATGAGAGAAAAGGTAAAATGGATATCATATAATAAAAATATTACACATGACAATATTCTTTGTCTATCAAACAATATTTCAAAACCCCACAAACATAAACACAATCCTTTATTTGCTGAATTTTACTCATTCTCTACCATCTATGTGATCTTTATGAAATGTATCACCCATAATTTTACTTAATATGTTTCTCTTAAATAAATTTACTATTTTTTCCATATGAAGAACAGGAGGAAGGGAGAATTTTCAAGGATTCTAAGAAGCAATGGTTAGAAAATCAGGAGGAAAATCAGAAGCTAATAGTGTCTGGTTGGATTAGTTTAAGCCATTTAGAAATCCCTAGCACAAAAATATATGCACCCAATGTGCACTTTGAAAAACTGTTGAACTACAAAGTAAATCTAAGAAAAACATTCTAAAACTTCATATAATGGCTACTGTCACACTTAAAAATATTCTTTGAGTATAGCTGAACTTTCACTTTTATTGAAAAAATATCCAGTTCTTTAAAAAAGTCTCTCTTCTTCCCTCTCTATACAAAATCAAAGAAGAAAGAGAAATTAAGATCAGATTTGGAATTGTTTGTACAAATTGGCATCTAGAGGCGCCTGGGTGGCTCAGTTGTTAAGCGTCTGCCTTCGGCTCAGGTCATGATCTCAGGGTCCTGGGATGGAGTCTCCGCATTGGGCTCTCAGCTCAGCAGGGAGCCTGCTTCTCCCTCTCCCCCTCCCCCCCGCTTGTGTTCCCTCTCTCGCTCTGTCTTTCAAAGAAATAAATAAAATCTTTAAAAAAAACCAAATTGGCAT